TCTGGCAATAGGTGATCGCTGATATTTTGTTTACAGTTGGCTTTAGTAACTCTTGTCAGTGCTTTCTACTAACTTTTAAGTAATTTCTTAGCATGCAGGACTATTTTATACCAGGCTTGTTTCTCTGCCTAGGTTTGCAATGCTCTGACAGTGAACAGTGTTAAAATTTACAACAGTAAATCCTGTTGTCTCTTACGTAGATATGAACAAAATATGGAGTAGTATTCTCTTTTAGAAAAGGAGATTGTCAGATCTTTTTCTGAGCTCCGTGTATTTGTTTTTATAAATCTTAAAAATGGCCTCACAAATCTTTCAGGGCCCTTGTAATCTCATTTTTGTAGTCTTTTGAGAGTACTGCCTTGCAGTTGTGATCAGCTTGATAGTGTGTGTCTGTCTTTGCTCATTTTGTGGTCTGCTCCAGGTGGGCTGGATGAGACTCTGCACAACATCATCGACTGTGCCTGTGAACAAAACATCCCCTTTGTCTTCGCGCTGAACCAAAAAAACAAGGCCCTGGGCCGCTGCGTGAATAAAGCAGTGCCTGTGAGCGTGGTGGGGATTTTCAGCTATGATGGGGCTCAGGTGAGTTGCAGACATGTATGTTCATGTTTTCCTTCAGCTTTACTTTATACTGGTTGAAAAGAATACTGTTTAAATTATGACCTTGCGTTTGGGTTGTTTTGCTTTAGCACACAAGCTGTAGAATGCACATCATGAGCTTGTAAAAAAACTTGGTTAAAAATGTGCAGTTGCTCAGTACTGTTCAAATAAGCAGTTTGGCCTCCTCTTCCTGGCTCAGTCTCCATCTAGAGCTCTTTCCTGAAATTTTCCGTCAAAGAGAAGTGGTGTTTTTGTAAATGCTTAGTTTGTTTTTAATATCTATAAATACTTATAAATACTTGCCTCGTGTGGAGTTCTAGCATTCTGGTAGCCCATGGATGCTAAGGCCAAAGTGAATAAGGAAGATAATTTTAAAGATCACCCTCTTCTGGTAAGCTGATTACCTGTTTGAATGAAACTTCAGGATAATGAGCTCATCTTGAAAAGGGATGTACTAATTAGAAAACTGTTTCAAATGTAGCAGCACACACTTGCGTGAACAAAGCTACCTGAGTTGTAAAATTTTCTCATTTTCTCATTTATGATGCTGCAGCAACATATCCCGAGGCACATTTTCCTTTCACTCTTATTTAAAAACATGCTTTGGGTTTCAGTTACATCATTTACCATGAGGCTTTCTCTGTTGCTCACTTGTATCCGTAAATGTAAATGCTCTGCATAAGGAATAGATTTTCATGGTGATGTTAAAACTTACTCTATGATTGGATTTCAACTAGTGTTTTACATCTCTATAGGACCATTTTCACAGAATGGTACAGCTGACCACAGAGGCCAGGAAAGCCTATAAAGATATGGTAGCAGCTTTAGAGGAAGAAGCTGAAGGACTAAGTGAAAAAGCCTCCAGCATCTCAACCACTGAGTATGGAAAAAACGGCTCATCAGAAACCAGTAAAGCATCTCCCAGAGAATCTGATGAGGATGTTCCAAATTATAGTGAGTATTTACTGACTTATTTTTGTTTCAGTTTTTATTTCACATCCAAGTTCTCTTCTAATGCACCATTTTCGCTGAAACAAATGGCACTTGGCATGTATGTAGTTAGTAAAGGAAGAACTCTACTTTTCTGTGATTTTGTTTGCTTATTTTCTTCCTAATTTTATACATCTGTGGTCAGCTCTTTGCCAAGACACTCTTAAGAGAAAATTGTTTTCTCAAATCCCCTGATGGCAAGTGCCACACACTGCTTTTCCTGAGGAGGCTTCAGAGCAACTCCTCATTATTTCCTTAAAAAAAAAATCTAAGTATTCTTCTAGAACTACACATTTGAGCATTATGTTGGAGTTAAGTTTTGTACTGAAGCTTGTTTGAAATGCATCTTCCTGTCCAAAAGTGTTCATGTTATGTAGGGGCTTTGCACTTTCAGGAGCACATACTTCCAAGTGCTGCTAATGCAGTCACCAAACATATCACCGATACGGGACAATGTAATTTTTTTGGAAGTTTTGGAATATTTTTAGTTTTTGAAAGACAGCTCCTCCATCAAAGTTCCTTGAGTAGGAGGCCTTGCTTGACAAAGAAGTTGGACCAAAGGACCTCATTGGTTACCCATTCTCAGTCTAATGTTGCACGTGATTGATAGGTCTTTCTATCTGTGTCAACTTTCCTCAGCACTTACTTTGAGGAGGAAGTAGAGAATCAGTGTGACTTTTCATTTTAAGTTTTTCCTTGGATATTATGTTGTAACTTTTTTTTTTTTCATTCTAATATTCTGTAGTTAAAATCTGGAAAAAAAAGCTTGAAGAAGAGTATAACCCATACGCCCTGGAATTGGAAAAGAGTGCAACCACTGACGTGCTGGCATTGAATTCAGAAGAGCAGCAGTAAATCCAGATTCAGTTCTGTGTGGATTTAAAATTTTCCAATAGACTTGTAAATACTGAAATATCTAAAATTAAAGATCCAGGTAGGAAGAGGGCATCGCAAATTAAGATAAATTAAGAAATGCCTGAAGCAAGTCAGCTAACAAGTTAACTGTTCTGGCCTTTGAGCAAAACGCACACTGGAGCACGTGAGGCACTGACTTACTCTTTTGGATTTCTGAGTACTTGGCTGATTACAATAGCCAAGCCAGTATACAATTACTATAACAGTAAGCAAACTGTCTTCACCCAGACCCACTTGAACTCGCGTTGTCGCTTGTCATGGTTTAATGGACTTATTTAGCATTGATTTGTTAGTGGTACCAAACGCCAAAAGAACTTGCTAGAAAGATGGTTTTGGAGGGGGAGAGAAAGAGTCTAAGAGCCAGAAGTTTGGGTCGTCTTAGGTGTTGTTTTGTTTTTTATTTTCAAGTCTATTTTTAAGAACTTACTTAAACTAGTATTTTTTGGGGGGGGGCGTCAAGGCAGGCAGCCTGGCATCAGTGCCACATTGTCTTCCCGGAGGGAGGAGATGCACGTCGGGCATCTTGGCTGAAGTCTGCAAGGAGACCAGAGAGGGTGTTTCGACTCTCTGATGCTGTTAGGACAGGTTTACCCTAGGTCTTGCTTTGAAGTTAGAGGGTATAGAAGGTCAGGGAACGGGCCAGCCGCCTCTCTCTGCCTCTCCTTTGCTCCAGTTTGGGGTTCTGCCACTGTAGAAATGGAAGAGCTTTGAACCAACCTTGATTTGCACCTAAAACAGGAAAAACTGTTATCCTGCGCCGGACGGAAGCTTTGTAGAGCTAACTGAGCACGTAGCGGCGCGCGAGCCTGACGGGGCATTCCCGATGCAAGTGCAGAGAGGAGAGAGCAGAGGATGGGCCTAGAGACTCCCCTTGTGCCATGGAGGGCATGGATGGGGCCGTCGATGCCAGGTGCTACAGGCAGCATCTCTGAGGGGGTTTCTAAGTGCTAGCCTTGCTGCACTTACTTACCAACTGTGCTGCAGAGAGCAGCGGTCCTGCCGAGCTGGAGGTGAGCTATATAAGTATATTATATATATATAAAGTATAAATAATTTCAAAGTGCAAACAATTTTGTAGACTGTAAGATGTATAAATAATCTGCTATAATATATTGATTCTATAAAGTTTGGTCAAAGTGTGATTCTTTGTGTCTTAAGTAAGTAAGTGAACTCTTCTGTGGGGGTAGTTAATGGAAATATGAAGTGTCAGCTTTGGGGAAGAATATCTTTAAAGAAAGTGAACCGGCATTGGGCTGAAAGGTGCAGTGGTGCACAAGTTGCAATGGTGTTTTGGTGTTAGTTTTACCTAATCTTAAATGAAAATTGAGGGTTAAAGATCTCAGTGATGAAGGATGTTGTTGGATGGCAGGAGATATCCTCAGCCCCAAGGTAGGCTGCTGTTTGTTAACGCTCTTGCCTCTCTCACGGATATTTAAAGTTGCTAAAATACTTTTCCCAGTCCTCACACGGAACCATGGAGCGGCTGCTGGCGGCATGTGCACATCCTGGTGTTTGCTGTGTTTTCTGTACAGCTTTTGTCCAGTCCTCGAGGAGCATTCAGAGTGACTCCAGACTATGGCTTCCTCAAAATCCTTGCCCCTTTCTAAGGAGAAGGTGAAGAAACTCCCTAAGAAATTCGCCATATGGGGTCACCGCCATGTTGCTATGTTTACTAATTCTGCTAAACATCACTTTTTTTCACAATGACTTCAGCAGCGTTAGCGTATGATCTCCTACTGAACTTGTCTTGCACAGATTAAGAACGTGTGATGAAGCCCTACTGCCAAAACTGATTGGCCCACACCTGTGTTCAAAGAAATGAGGATTAGAAAAAAAGCCTGTGATCTGTTTAATTACAGGTGTAAAAAGCTTTGCTTTAGCCTTTGCCTTCTTTCCTGTTATGACAGGCTTTTCTCGTAAAAATTACACTGCTCCAGACCCAAGTACCAGAGGGCCTCAGGCTGTAAGAGAAATTGGCCTGTTTGCTGGAAAAGCTAATGGGTATAAAACAGTGTGATCTCGCAAATTTTGCCACCCCAAGTAGTAGCACCACTTTTTTTTTTCCTTCTTCATAGTGGTTCCCTGCCTCTGCTAGATTAGCACATACAAACTTTTGGCAGTCAATAACCACATGTACCTCTGCAAAGTAAAGCTAAAGTCTGGCAACCAACTTCTACACTACTTGCCCTCCTTGCAGTGAGGAGGCAGCCTGGGGCTGTGCTCATTTAAAATCCCAAAATCTCTCATCTCAGCAAATAGGGGTCTTACCTTCTCATTCAGCAGCAAAAATACAAACTTAAATCTGTTCAAAATTAGTTGAATAGTGGAAGAGAGACACTTAAAAAGACTAAAACTGGCCCTTAGTTATAAAAGATGTCCGAAGCAAAACTAAAATGAAAAATAGCTCCCTTTGGTTCTTCATGTCAGAAGTTCATACCAGCATTTATTTGTGATTGATAAATAAAAAAATAGGGAAATGGTTCTTGTATAAAAATTTTCACCCTGCATGCATGACAACAAGATGGTCTCATTGAAAATAAATGGGTAACTGAGAAAAGTCTCAAAATTAAGGTTTAGGAGGGAGGGAAGTTGTTTTTTTTTTTTTTTTTTTTTTTTGGGGGGCGAAAAACCTAATTTAAATCTTACTAGTTTGGTATTAACCTGGAAATAAGCCTGAAACTTCCCATATTACCCATGGCGCACTCTGTAGTGATTCTTAGGTGGAACACACATCATCTTGCTTACAGGTTTTTGAAGAACACTTGAGAAGATAGAGAAAAACTTGCCTCAAACTTTTATTTATTGGTTGCAGAAAGACAAAGCTGAACAGCATTGCAGTGGATCAAAGTAGGTCCCCACATTTACAGTCTGCAGTTGTTCACTTAAAACTAAGTGAACTTCACACAATTTTAGACTTAAAGTTCATTGAACATACAAGTGTTTAAAGCCACCACCATATCCAAAATTTTGAAGAATAATTTACAATAACTAAACCATTTGCTTTAACTTGAGTACTTTGTAAGCTACCCATATTTTGTGAATTAGTCAGAATTTATTTATTTGGTACAGAAACTTCTGTGACCAAAGGTATTGGAGCAGCTAAGTTAAGTCTTCAGTGAACATGCTGACACCAGAAAGGATTGTGCTTTAAAACATCGAGAACAGGGCGTAAGGGTAAACAAAATAAATGGGACTGTGAAAGTGCCTTTAAATAAATGCAATCCAAGTCTTACTTACTGGTCTCTAATTTGTATGCCAAGACCATCAAGCCCCAAGAGAACTGCTTTGCTTAATGGACCCAAAACAAGCCGTGGACCATATTGCACTGGTTGAGCGGCACAGGGCCGCTCTGCTCTTCAATCCGCTGCAGGGACAGGTAACCAGGGCCGGCTCCAGCACGGGACGGGCCTCTCCCCTCCAGCAAGTAAGTTATCGAGTGGTTCACTGAGGAAATTGCACCTTGGTTTCTGCACGATTCAGCACATTCTCCTGAATATCAACCCCTTGCCAGCACTAGCACTCGCAAATACCTCTTCAAATGAAATATTAACTAACTCGCATACGGTTCTTATCCCAGCCTGCTCATTCCTTTGTCCATTAAGGGGTGTTTTTCTTGTTGCAGCTCTCCTGAAGGAGAAAAAGTTTAGATCAAAGTGTTAGCACTGGTTTAAAATAAGACAGGTTTTGAAAGTTGCCTATACTATCTGTTCCACCTGCAACAAGTACTTGTTATATCCAAACTACATGGCTATAAAAAGTAGTTTCTGTTTCGGCTGTTGGAAAAAATCACAGAAAGTAACATACAGATTTGTGTTTTAAGAAAGGTCAGCTGTGATGGACAATACCAGCGATGAAGGCTGACAGTCTCTGCAGACCAGTTAAGGTCTTACAGATGCGGTCGAATGAATCTACTGTGTTCAGCACTGAGGGCCTTGCCCTTTTCGGCAGAGTGACTTCCTTCTAACTGATGGAGCTCTTGGTAATAGGACAGGAGGAGGAGGAAGCTGACAAGGATGCAGCAGTAACACGGAAAATAAATGAAATAAATAGGTCTCACTGTTCCATCCAGAATTACAACATGCACAGGAACACACATCATTTTACAAATGCTTTCAGTTGCAGAAATGCCATAGACTATTACAAAATCAGACTGTAGTCAGCTATGTAGAAAGTAACTAGCCATTAATTCTTACCCATGTCTTTTTCCAGTTTTGCATCATCTTGTCATGTTCACTGATGGCAGTTCTCCAGTTATGAAATTCTTTGGTCCATCCATCCTGGCCCGCACTATCTGAAAACGTTAAGCAGGGTGATTACATAACTAGGTAATAATCCAGTAATTTGATCTACTCAGTTGCAGTAATACAGAGGGTAGGGCTTGAAGGAGCAAAAGCCACCATCTCACCCTCTCTTCCCAAGTTATTTAGAAATAACCTCTGTTCAAACAGTTGTCTCTCTTCCCCTCTGCAGAAGGCGTAAAACATCCAGAGCAAACAGCTTTGGTGCTTTTAATCAGTGTGTCAATGCCTAGAAGGTATGGGCTGCTATTTAGAAGAGCTAAATCCCCCTAGAAGCACAGGAACGTTGTAGCTGGACCCTACCAGGGCTGGAGAGGGGAATGACTTGATGTTTCTGATCATGTTGACAAAGTTTTAGTTCCAATACAGCTTTTCCAACCAGTTTTTCTTGCAGTGGTGGCATACACAGATTTAATAAATATTTTCTATTTATCCTTCAAGACACTAATGACACTAGTGTCATCTTGTCCAATGACATCTTTTGGACCGCACTGAAAGCAGCCCACTGTTTACATTTGCAATAGTTTGAATTAGATGCTCTTTATTCTGCATCTGAGGCCAATTTTAAAGCGACTGGAATGCTTGCAAGAAACTTGCAAAAGAGCTTCCCTTGTTGCTCTCCATGAAGAAAAGCTGGGATGAGCTGCTCTTGAAAAATTCACGTTTGATACCAATTACAATAATCAGTTCTTCCCCGTGCCCCCCTAGAAAATACATTATCACATTAGTCCTTCTCCGCTCTTTTTAAAGACTACATCTACCCTTCTCCAGGTCTAAGTTCTCACACACAAGTTGCAAATAGCACAGAAGTTACTTGGGTCAGTTCTGGATGCCTAAAGATGACTTGACTTCCTGCCCATTACTATCAACATGAAGAGCTAAGAACAGACCCTGTCTGGTAGAGGTTTTCTTTTTTAAAAAAGATCAGGAGATTTTTTTTTAAAAAAAATAGAGGTAAGGATGCAGAGATGTCTCTTTAGTATTTGACTTCCTTGATATTAAAGAAATTTTCTTTGTTACCCGCTAGAGTTCTTGTAGATATTTATTCTTTTATAATCCTCCTCAATACTCGCCTGACTTTCACTGTGTGTCTGTTACTTATTTTGAGGTGGAAAAAAGACCTTGTGATTTACCTCCGAGGCACTTAGTCCCCTAATTTTCTGCAAGACTTCTGAAACATGGAGTGGATACCATTTAATTTCTAGGTCCTATCTGCTAATTTGCAGGTTAGTTCTTTGGGAAAGGGGGGGG